GAGGTTCTGTAGGTCAGAGAGGTTCTGTAGGACTATGCCAGCAGTTTTGCTGCAGATCCCGACAGTTTGTTCCTGTTTTTTCACAGAGTTCAAACCAACAGATGAAGGTGAAAGTTAAAAGACACAATAAAACATTTTAATAAAAGTAGAATCAACATTAAAACCGGAGCTTCTGATAAAAATACATTCTTTCGTGGGCCTTCTTAAAGAGTGAGTTCACATGGAGGTCAAAGGTCAGTTTGTCATCCAGAACCGTCCCCAGATGTTTATACTGATGCTCCACCTCAGCAGCTTCACCGTTAACGACCACAGGAGCTGCAGCTGAAGAGTCTTCTCTGAAATCAATGACCATCTCCTTTGTCTTAGAAACATTTAGCTTTAAAAAGAAGACTCACCATTCAGTGAAGTCCCGGACCACAGGACCAGGGTCTGGGTCTTCACTGCTGAGAAGGGACAGGATGGCAGGATGGCAGCAGACCAAGGAGTGATTTATAGATGAAAAAGAACCAGTGTGAGAGCCTACGAATGATGACCAGCTGACCAGTGAGTACAGGGTGCAGCGGTGGTACGGTTGTTACAACCAGTAATGAACCTTAGAGCGTGATGGTAGAAAGCATCCAACATCTGCAGGGAGCTGGCAGGGACATTCATGTAATGATGTCACCATAATCAGCTAAAGTGAATAATGGTTTGGTGCAGTACACAAAGAGTTACAGAGTCTTAAATGTGCCAGAGCCACTGGCAGCAGCTATCAGCTCTTATTAGACCTAATATTTGTATAAATGTGTGTTTCAGATCGTGGGAAAGGACGGCATCGTCAAGCCATCCTAGGAGAACATCCATCCAATGACTATGGTACTGACTGACTGTCTTTATCTCTTTCTGTCTGTTTCTTCTGTTTTCACTCTATTTTTCCTAATCCTGCTGAATATCACTCAGAACGCCATGTTGTTTGTGTGCATGCATCTTTGTGTCTACAGGTCCACACTGCCCCCTTCTGCCTCTTCCTGCAAACAGCAGGTACAGGAGGAGCCATGAGCCCGTTCAAGAGATGATCTCTTACCCACCACTGCTCCCAAAGGCCTTCTCCTCTGCACAGTCCTCCTCTTCCATTCTGGGCTCTAGCTCTGTCGCCATGGTGAGCAGCCTCCATCCAGCCAAGATGAACTGCAGCCGCATCTTCAACCTCTTTTGTCTGTACGGCAACGTGGAGAAGGTTGGTGGGCTCCCTGGGACTACTGGAGAACACGGTGTGCTTGTCAGAATGCTGCACAGCCACGCCTCAGAGAATTATCAGTTCTGTTTTGTTAGTACAGAAAGATTAACACTGCATTCAACAAAACTAGTCAGGATATTTTTTTTTGCTGAAAAGTTTTCTGCCGTCTAACTCTAAACCTTTAACAAGGTGTCAATCTTTTTCTTTCTAAGCTCCTGAGACAACGCTGTCCTTTGCTTTCTGTGGTCCATGTCCAGTGTAGTACACACCATGATCCCAAACAGCACAGTGACTACACTTCACCCTTTCAGTGGTCACATGACGAAGACACCTGCGAGACTGATTACAGGGCACATGTTAGTTTAACTTGTCCCTACAGTCAAATACTTTCAGTCTTTTCTATGGATACCATATTTAGTCAGTTACTTTTCTATTTAACTTCCAAATTTTAAAAGCAATTATTTACATATTACCGGTAGATTAATACATTTTGGCATATATTTCTGTTGTCAGTTTAAATTTATTTCATTGACCTTTGTGGGGTTTGCTTCTTTAACAAAAACGTAAAACTAATTTGACCCCGTCTGCAAATGACTTCATTTCATATTTCAATTTTCAATTCAACCTTTACGGGTTAGTCTCATTGAGCCCCGGGGACTCGTTTACAGGAGAGACCTGATTTAAACAGATGTACAGATGACAACAGTGGACAGTCATAAAAACTGTAAAGTAAATGGATAAATTATATTAAAATTAACTGCTATGTTATAAAGCGATCTAAAATACTAAAAACAGGAACTGTGTTGGTTTTTGACATGAACTTCAGTCAAATTTTTCAGTAAAATTATAATAAAAAAAACATCTAAAGTGGTAATTGTTTTGAAAATGATTAGTTATGAACTTAATTGGTTTATAATAATAGTAAAACCCTGAAAATCCAGAGATGTTGTCTTCTTCTGAGTTTGATGACTTCCATAAGCCACAGTCATTCATCAGAACCGTGCCTTCTCAGTAAACAATATGTAGATTTAATTACCGTTTTAGTGTCAGAAAGACTTTTTACAAACGGGGCACTTGGTGTTTTCAGGTGAAATTCATGAAGAGCGTTCCTGGAACAGCACTGGTGGAGATGGGTGATGAGTATGCTGTGGACCGAGCAGTGACTCACCTCAACAGCATTAAGGTGTTTGGAAAGAAGCTCAACGTCTGGTAAGCAATGACACGTTACGTACATAGTCAAATGTGGGAGTTATGGGTTGATAGTTTAAATGAGCCTGACTATCCATTGTCAGATTTCTTAAAGGGTCAACTTTAAGGCAGGGGCGATCCTAGAATCTGACCTTTAGGGGTACTTGGCCCCCAGTGCTGACAATGGCTCTTGGCTTGAACAATGTGGTGGCCATTGGTATCAGAAGCATTTGTAATGTAGAGAGGACATTGGTGAGGGGGTCTGGGGTTTTTGAAAATTGTAAATTTTTTGAATAAATAGAAGCCATTTCCTACATTCTGGTATATTTTAACGTGTTGTTAAACATCTACCTACATAAGTAAACACGATATTCAATAATTATTTTAGAGAGCAACAAGAAGTAGCCTGACCAACAGCTCTCCTTGTGTGAATAGAGCACACTCTGCTTCTCTCACGTATCCTATCGCGGGGTTGCGATAGATGAAGCTTTTGTCCTTGGTTACCCATGACCCAGGAGAAATTTGATAGTCAGCCCATTCCGAGGCCGTTGGGGAGACAGATTCAGATAAACTTTGATTGTTGTTTTTCTTCAGGCAGACAGATTCCTTTTTTCTTCAGCCTTGAGTCCATCTGGACGTT